TTCAGTCTCTAACTGTAGGGTTGAGTAGTTGCAACAGAGACCTTTTGGCCCACAACACTTGAACTATTTTTATTGGGCCCTTAAAGAAAACATTTGGTGACAAATTATTTAACCTAATAGCTGATACTTGAGTTTTCTCATGGTCTCTTCATGTTGACAGGTATTTGCTAAGTATCAGTCCCAATATTTTACTTTCAGGTGACAGAGAGCTATGCATATTAAACAACGTGGGCTCTGGAATAAAAATTGTCAAATAAGTCTCTCTGCTAACTTATTATTAACAGATAATGAAGCATCACAATTATAACTGAGTTTAGTTTTAGAATATTTATTGATAGTGCATTACAGCTTAAACTTTCTACGTGAAATAGCAAAGATAAATTTCCTGAGGGTAAAGATTGAAGAGAAGTGTCTGGAAAGAATTACATAGCTCCTAAGACCCAAATATCTAGTTTGTTTACACTTTACCTAATTCACCTTTGGGGTAACCCTTCCAAATATCACTTTCAAAGTCAAATAGAAATGCTATTTCTTGCTTTTTTTTTTTCTCAAGGAAGGGTGAGTAGAAGCAAAGAGAGTTAAATAAATAACCAAAATTCCCAATTAAACTTGTTTGTTGCAGCTCTATTCATATGGCAAAAACATAGAACCAACCATGGTGCCCATCGAAACTGGACTGGATAAAAAAAATGTGAAACATATACACAATGGAATATTATGCAGCCATAAAGAAGGACAAACATACGGACTTCACAGTAACTTGGATGGATTTAGAGTCTATCATACTCAGTGATATATCACGGAAACAAAGAACAGAGTACTCAAAAACGGACCTTGAACAATTATCAAAATACTATAAGAAAGGGATTGGCAGTAATGGGAAACTGCCAGGGGAGTGGGGGTGGGATTGGCAGTTGAGGGAAACTGCCAGGGAAGGGAGGGGCACACCTCACTAACAAGGGTACCTGCATATTTGTATACCTAACCCTGAATTGTACCCCACATCTCTAAAACAAAAACAAAAACAAAAACACTTGTAAACATGGAAAATGCAAGTTGTCACAATTACTAACATGAGCCAAGTGGTTCATGGAACGCTTACGTTCCATAAACCTGTTGTCCAAATCCAGTTTTATACAAACAGCCAACTCAGAACAGGAAGCTTTAAATGGCAACAAAAGAGACTTTCCAATATTAATATTACATACCTAATTGCATGGAATGGGTGTGTAACTATTATTTCTCTTCCTGTCTAGTTGGTAGAAACATGAATACTTGATCAATGTCACATAGAAAGTTTGTAGCATATGTAGCTCTTATTTTTTTCTAAAGATCTTAGTTATTCTGAATGATCTGATTATTTTCCAGAAATGTGACATAGAGAGAAGGACACTGTCTGGAAAAAACAAAGTACCTCAGCCTGACCGTGTGTGAACTGTAATCCCAGTAGGGTACAACTCTTTTTTATTTTGATTTTTGAGTTGGAGTCTCACTCTGTCTCCCAGGCTGAAGTGCAGTGGCCCAATCATGGCTACCGCTGCCTTGATCTGCTGGGCTTAGGCAATCTTTCCACCTCAGTCTCCCATAACTTTATATAAAAAAAAAATTATCTCCAGCTTTTCTTTCATTTATTCTATAAATTTTATTGAGCACCTACTGTTTTAGGCACTTAGGAGACATCGCTAAATAAAATGATCTAAAATATCCTACTCAATCTCCATTCTTGCATGGGAGATAAAGCATAAATAACAAACATAATAAATAAATTACATAGTATGTTCTAGAATGATACATGCTTTAGAAATACAAAACGTAGACCAGGATACGGGAATTTGAGAGTACTGGGTCAGGTTTAGGGGCGGCACAAGAAATTTCTATCTTTTATATTTAAATGTAAATCTTGTATACATGTGACTGACACAGTCAGGTTACCACTAAAATTCTTTAAAATATTTAGGTTAGATGATATGATTTTTTAAAGTTTCAAAAGTTCTACCCCTGGTTTTGTGAAATTTTCAAGTACCTAATATGGAGTGGTTAGGCACTCAATACTTTTCTTATAAACCAATCAAGCAAGATCTTAGAGGACTCTAGTTGTAAATTAAAAATGTGTGATTTGTTTTGAGTGATTTAAAATCTCTTAACACAGTGACATTGTCCAAGATTTCCCACCAAAAGTAAACATAAATGATTTTTATTATGATTATAGAACAGATAAATGCCAAACAATGTTTATATATCAAACCTTACGCAGTGGCATATTTAATACCATGCATCAGGATGGATGAACATTTATGTGGTTCCCAAAATCTGATTTTAGCAATATAGTTATCTCACTTTTCAGCACACAGCCTATTACTATGAGGAAGTTAAAAAATAATGAAATTGTGCCCTAAGTTTAAGGCACTAAAAAAAAAAAAAAAAAAAAGTAACCACATGGGAAAGAGTCTAAAATAATATAATTAAACTGGTGAAAGTCAGACTGTTTTATCAATATCATAACTGATAGCCTGATCCACTGATAAACAACAATGTTTAAACACAAATGCCCTAAGGCCACTATTGAATAGAGAATTAGTCATTGTGTTGTACACACACGGGGATCAACTTTATGTTTATACTAAATGCAGAAAAAGACTTTTTTCTCCAAAACTACTTAAAAACCATCCAGCAAGAAAGTGGATTCAGCTGAGAGAAAGCAGTTGTCACAGGTTGCAATTTAGGGAACGCTTATGTTCCATAAACACCATTAGAATTTAAAGAACATATTTAAGCAAAGTAGTAATTTCGAAAGGAATCAGGCAATAGAGATTCAATTTCCCCAGACTTTACTTTGAGTAAGATGTTAGTAAACACTGAACTATCCCATGATAGATTCATGATATCCCATAATAGCTCATGACATTGAAAGAGCCAGGAATGATGCAGTTCATACAGAAATAAACTGGAACAGTTCTCTTAGTTAAGGATCTTTCTTCGATCCTTCTACAATCTTCATGAAGTTCAATGTCATCATGAACTCATGTTTTTTCCTGCATGTGCCTTTTTCTAGAATACAGTACTGATTGGTCATGCTGAGCATTGACAATGTGTTAGTAAGAAGTATACTGTCTTTGGCCAATTTCAATCATTTTTGTTCTTTTACTTTTTCAAAGTGATCAAACATTTTTGTGAGTGTCACAGAATATTTTTAAAGATTTTTTTTCTAAAAATAAGATTGACTGCAAAGTGACTTACTGAAGCTCTTATGCATCTAATTAACAGATCAGGGTAAAAGTGAGAATATATGAAAGTTATTCTGGGAGCTCACAGGTAATGTTAAAAACAACTGATTATCTTAGTGATTCACTATGCATAACAAGTCAAATGTGAGCAAACATTTAGATGCTGCATTCGCAAATAAGCATATTTTTAAAGTGATCTTCAATTTTACATTTTGGTGGTTAATTATGATTGTCTACATTATTATCTCAAAATAGAAAGTGCATTTACGTTTTTCTTGGTATCTAATTTTATATCACCTATGTTATTTGATACAAAGAATAAAATATTCAGCTGCCCTTAGAGTTGTTTCTCAAAGTACACCTATTATAAATATTATACTCTCTTTTCTTTTATAGTTACTGTTCAAAGTGCATAGGACAGTCTTCAGTTTAGCAATAGAGATATATTAGCCTGAAAAAATACTTGTATCTGGGCTTCATATCATCAGATTTGTTTTTGTTTTTACCCTAAATATACACAATAAAATTTATTTTTAAAAAAGGATTTGGTGATTGAGTGCCCAGCCATGTGAATATACTTAACAATATTGAACAACATACTTAAAGATGGTTAGGATAATAATTTTTTTCATATTTATGGGGTACATGTCATATTTTGATACAGGAACACTAAATGTAATGATCAAATCAGGGTCCCTGGGCTGTCCATCACCTCAAACATTTACCATTTCTTTACATATCACTCAATAAATGTGTCACCATCATACATTGATGGTTTATAAATGTGAGATGGTTTGCTTATTGTTTTCTGAACTATATAAAAAAGCTGGGCAGCACAGTTCCAATAGCAGAAGTAATTTCTGCAAGGTTGGAGGGTAACTGCCACGTACCTCGCTCCCAGCAATTTGACTCATTCTTCTTTGATCACTTCCATCAAGAAGGTTAGAGTGTTTGTAAATCTATGATTCAGGCTGACACTCTGTAAAACTGATCTCACTCCATTATAAAAAGATAGATGTATTAAAATGAAAGAATAATGGGGAAATATTGCTTAATGCTGCCTATATTAAGATTAAAAGCTAAAGAATCAGTAAATACTCAGATCTAAGATGGCCACTGTTCACAAACTACAGCAACTCAAATATTATCACTGCATTTTAGCTTTCTCTTTTAGTTTAGAAAATGAAAGGGGGCACGGTTTCCTAGGAGTATGTGCATTTTTATGTTTTTTGTTTTTGTTTCTTTCCAATCTCAACTCAATGGCGAATAAACAGATGTTTATGTTTGCACCAATTACTAGTTTCCACCTCGCTATCACTTGACATTTGGGGCACACTGCAAAGCTTGTTAGTTTGGTTGTTAAAAGTCTGTCTAGTTTAAAACTTTAATTGCAAACTGAAGTCAATTTCATCTCCTCCTCCCTCCCCCTTTCTGTACCACAGACTTGTTGGGGATTGCTGGGTTTATTGAGGGAGCAGGTTCTTGATAAACTCTTGGGGGAATTTCTGGCACCATTTTTACCTAGCCTTTTATGGATGTGGATACCAGGAGGCTTTCTGTTACCAACTTTGAGACTTAATTGCCAGCTTCTAGACAATGAGGCAATGCCATCACATGTCCAGCTACACACCAACAACACATGTATAGTGTGATGCTCCCTGGTGCTTAATATAGAACACACTTCTGTAAACCTTCCCTTCCTTCCACTACGATGTGTGCATTTTACCTGCAGTCCCAAAAGAGCAAATATATAACACTGAAGAAAAATTGGATTACCATGGCTGTTACACCTGGACGTTTCCACGAGCCTGCCATTTTGATCGTAGCACGCCATTGCTTGGTAACGGTATCCTTGTCCGCACTCCTTGATGTCTCCTTGGACTTTCATGCCCAGTAACACTTCTACTTTTCCCTCTGGTAAAATACAGTCAGACCAGTTCCCCACAGGCTGTGCGTTATATTTGTCACAAGGACAATACTGTGTCTCAATCAGGGGGTACAAATGGGAATTTTTACATTTTTCCTTCTTTTTACTTTTTCCTGTGGAAGAGAAACCACCAGACAACTTATGTTAGAAAATACCATTATTAATTTTAAGCATTCCTAACTTTTCAACTTTCCTATGCTTTTTTCCTACATTTTAAACCACGTTTAACAGTAGCCTATACCTAAACCTTATTGTCCCACCCCAGAGTTTTCTATATGGGCTCTTATTGGTATTGGGTGCCTTGCATTTTAAAATTTGCAATTTTGAGGGGTTTAAAAATAGTCCATTTTGCATAAGGAATTAACGGTTGTGTTAAATTTCATGCTCTTCAAAAAGACTAAAATCCTCAAAAATGATCATGTGTTTTCACTGACTGTGGAGTCTGAGGTAAATGGATAAACCCCCTCTTTATAATATATATATATATATATATATATATAGAGAGAGAGAGAGAGAGAGAGAGAGAGAGAGAGAGGAGAGCAGAGCACACATGCACAAGGGAGACACTGCATTGGACCACATACATCCTTTGCTAATTCCAAAAAGATAGTATCATTAGATAGGGTTATAATTAGAAGATGAGACTAGGACTCACTGACATTTTAGGTACAAAGTATAGCAACAATAAGGCATATCCCCACATTTTTCAAATACACTTTCAGAACTCTCTTGGCCTGAATTGTATTGTGTTTTTCTACCTTGACAAAAGCACTGGCTTTGGAGCCCCAATTATTCTTACCAACAATAGTGCGCTTTCTGGTCCTAACAGCACCACAGTCTCCATTGCATGAAGAAAATTTGGACCAGCTGGTCAACTGACAGTCATCCTGGCAGGGGATCTGGCATGCTTGGGTGAGGGCTGGCACAGGGCCCGCATACTGGAGACACTCATGGATGCCAGCCTGTCCTCCATCTTGTTTGCGACAAGTAATGGCTAAAAGAAAAGCATAAAGCTGTTTATAACAAATTCAAAGTTCTCGTTACTCCATAATTTAGAAGTTAGCCTAACATTTGCTGAGGCAGTCAGAGAAATCTTCTTGCTATTCCTTATTTACAGTTGAGATCTGGTAGGAGTATTCCTAATAATTACAGTAGATATTTGATTGGTCTTACAGGTTTTTAAAATAATATATTAACCTCAGTGGTTTTTGTGGCACAGGAAAGCACACACACCTATGCACCCACATACTCTTAGCATTTAGAAGTTTCTATTAAATATATGAAGGATTTCAATTCACGTCACATGGGGGTTATATTTAAAAATGAAATTTTTGGGAGACAAATTAATCACACATGGGTTCTGATAATCATTTACACTGAACATAGAATGTTCAGAGGTGCTAGGAAATACCAAGTACCTCTAATATTGTTTTTTGTAGTTGGAAATGCTAGACTATTTAGGTAGGAATCCTTCTTAGTGGCAGCAACTTGGTTATAGGTTGGGGTTGGGAGGGGATGGGTATGGAACTCATCTTGAAACTGCATGGCCATAGAAAGGGTGTTTTTAAAAATTACATTGTAAGTTTATTAGGATGACTTTGGAGTGGTTAATGGACAGGGAGGTGTCAAAGTCCTCCACCTTTCTGCCTATAATTTTTCCACTTGCACAAACATCAACCCTGAATTTAAAAATCAAAATGGAAACTTTTAATAATCTTAATGTATATTATTATTAGCACTTCCACAATTTAATATAAGCTTTCTAATTAGTCAAGTAATTTTAGTTCTCCTGAAATATTGTTTTATTGACTTATTTAAAACAAATAATATTATTACTTATTGAACATAGATATACAATTTACTTAAGGTAACAAGTCTTAAAGAAAAAGAATGTGTTTAAGGTCCTCTTTCTCTCTCTGTAATTTCCCTCCTATTGGTTTACAAATCATTTATTAACTGAGGAAGGAGATGGCATCTTTAAACCTTGGTCTTAAAGTTTAGTCTTTGTTGAATTACCTTAAATGGCCTCATCCAGATTGATTTACATGTTTTTGCTTTTTCCAGGTTTATGGTTTAGGCTGAAACTGCTGCTGATTCATGCCCTGCTCAGGGTTCTATCATTCCATCATCATGAAATCAAAGTGAAAAAGTCAGACATTTTTTTAATCTAAATTGCAGTGTAGACACAGAGGACCCCAGGTTAGACAACACTCTCTGGATCTGTGTCTAAAACCTAATGCCTAGGAGTACAGGGCCGTGTAACGGGGTGTTTAAAAGACTGTAACTAACAATTTTAGCAAGGGAAGACTTTCTCTGTGTGGTTGGACACAACTTGACACAACCGCCTCTGGAAGAGTTACATAAAAGGTTCTCCTAAATTGTTTAAATATGGTAAGTTCTCCTTTATTTCCTAACTGTAGATTTAAAAAAAAAAATTTAGTATACACAACTTTGGAAGGGCCAATTTTTGTGAAAAAAGTAGAGGGTCCCTGAATTTAAAAAAATATGTGAAATCTTAAGAGAGTAAAGAGCGATGACCTTCATAAGACTCAAATGACAGAAAAGAAGATGATTAAGTGCCCCAAAGAGAATCTCACCACCTGGGCAAGAAGTTGCCTGGTACTCTGTGTTTATCCAAACGGTCTAAGATCATGTTTCTCATGTCCGGCTGCAGAATGCAATCACCTGCATAGCTTTTGGAAAATACCTATGCCCTTGTTAAGCTCAAATGCTCTGATTTCCTTGGTTGAGGTTGGGGACCCTGGGCATTAGTAGCTTTTCTGAGTTCCCTAGTGATTCAAATATGCAGGCTGCATGAGAACCATCGTTCTAGTAGGTAATGCATTTTCACATACGTCAGAAACACCTGGAACACTACTGAATTTGGAGATACCGGGACCCATCCAGAGTTCCAAAATGAAATCTCTTTTATGAAGTCAAGGAATATGCACTTTTCTCAAGCTGCTCAGGTGATCCTTATACACATTAAAGTTTGGGACCCACTAGCTTGAGAAGTCAAGGCACACGGAGGGTTCTGGCAGATAATACAAGACAGAAATAGTCCAAGACAGAAGTCTTTTGGTACCCAGTGACTCTGCCACTCACTCTGGCACCATGTGAAGCTTTGGGAAGCAGTGGCTGAGGAAGTAGGAACTAAAAAAGCTTTAAACTTGGAGTTCAAGGGAGGGCATCATAGGAACTTGTAAATGGAATAGATCAAAGAGAGTATCCATATAGTTCAGAAGAACACCAACTGGTACCGTGGTGTAGGAGGAGTCCCCATGATGCAGAATACTAATGACTTGATATGATTTTGCGGTTCTCTCCACACCTACATACAATTTGGAAGCAGGATTGACCCCTTAAACACTTTAACTTAGTACGTGCCAATGACTTGTGGGCAAAGTCGCCCCAAGAGTGCTCAAAAGGGAGGATTGATAAGGAAGACATTCATAAGAACTTTTACTAATCAGGATACATAGGAGCCTCAAAAACGATGGGTTTGGAAAATAAGATGTTTGACCACATTAGAATCCTAACCTGTGAAGAGTATTGTGCTGTTTACAATTACAGGAAAATTAAAAATTACAAAACTACATTTGAGTTCTTTGAAATGAGACTACTTTTGCCTACTCAACCAAGTTAAGTTCTTTGAAACAGACTCGAGAATAAGACTTTTGAGAAATTAAATTAAATTGTCTTGTGTTTTCTATTGAGAGTCTTTCCTACAAATTTTATTTCAGGATTGCTCCAACTATAATCCCATTAAGTGATACAAAAAAAGAAAAACAAAATAAAACAACACTACTAGCAATACAATCCCAGAAACAATTTAATTTATTTTGTGCAGACCTGTGCTATTCACATCATTTGGAAGCTCCATATATCTGCACTACATAAAATCTTAAGCACTTCAGTTAGTTTCAAATAAAAAAGATGTAGAATTCCCATAACTATTCTCAGAAACCCACTTAGCACTCCACTCTCCTTATCTGAGATTTTAGACAGTCTACTTTTGGAATAAATTGCTCATACAATGTTATCCAAGCAAGCAACAACAGCACCGTTTGTACAATATATTGAAAATTTATCACACATCTCAACTTGTTTGTAGTCTGACTTAGAGGAAGCATACAATTCAAATGCAGAAATGCAATCTGAAATGAACTTCCTGCTATTAAGGTGAGGAAAATATAAATGCTTGGAAAGGAAACCATCTAGTCTCGCAACTTTATAAGTCTTAAAAATAATTTCTAAGACATTAAAAATTGGGTAGTTTGAACTGTAGAAAAGTGTTTCCTACCGACATAGAAAGTTACATCTACCCAGATAATTGTATCTGTATTTATGGGTGAAACATGTATGTCTCATATCTAATGATTATGCAAATTCTTCTCAGAGCTGAAGCTTTGTTAGCAAGATGGGCCAAAAATCATGTTGTCCTATGGGGTGAAAACTTCTCAGTGAGATCAGTAAAATAAATTATTTTAAAGTAAAGTTTTATAGCTTATGTTGATTATGTCCATTATTTTATTTAAATTATATAAAGGACAACAATTTTTATTTAAGTAGCGAAGAACAGGCTGCTCCCAGCAGGCTGAATGCCTGGGAAAAATCAAAGTGACTAATTTGTGGGTTACATATAAGTCAAGTTAAGTATGCTCAGCCAATCAATATTGAAGAAATGCTGTCAAGATAAATAAGTCGGTTTCTTCAACAAATACATACTATGAAAAAGGAAGCTAGAACTGCTAGATTAAAAGTGACCCAAGAAACACACTAAACAAAGGCAATGTGGAGAATTTTTTGCACCTTAATTTGAACTAATGATTGTGCACAGACATTTTTGAGAAAATGTAGGAAAATTAAACAGTAAGAATATTAGATGGTCTGAAAGAATTGTTAACTTTGGTGTAATAATAATCATATTGTTGCTATACTAAACATATTCAAATGTTTATGGATGATATACATCTTACCTGGATGTTGCTTTAAAATACTGCAGCAAAATTCTTTTTAAGTGTGTGGGGAGAGGCAGGTGACCAAGAATAGCAGCACATTAAACATCATTTAAACTTATTGAATGATGACTACATTACCAGTATTCATTGAAATTCCCCATCAATTTAAATAAAAAGATTAAAAAGTAGAATAAGTAGAGTCAATTCTAGAATGTTTTCATGTAAGTTGGGTTGTAAGCTATGTTTCAGAGAGAAAAATAATCAAGGTTCTTAGATAAAAAGGAAATAGATAACCCTGCTGAGCTAAAGGACGGGTCTGCATGTCATGCATATGTGAGCGTGTGTATGGAAGGCCACTGATGCCACTCTGAGGTCCATCAAATGGAATTCTGAATGTAATTGTTCATCTTCATTTTCTTTAAGAGGAATAAAACGTCCTTATTATTCAGTTTACATGAAAAGAGGGAGTTCTATCGGCCAGCGAATTACCCTTCCACATGGAAGGCCGAGTTCTCATTTTGTTTGAATAGTCAGAATGAAGCAAATTGCTAGATCTATAATGTACTCACAGAAGTTCATTACAGGAAACAGAATAGGATCAATGCTTTAGTGCAGTGAAAGCCGCTGGATTATATGTAGCAAAGAGTTCAAGGAGCTCTGAGACCTTATTTATTAAATTGAGCAATATTAACATGGTTTAACCCACTGCACTGGTGTCTGAGTAATGTTAGAGATAGAACATGTCCAGCTGGTTGAGTGATTGGATGAAGGATTTTTCCTATAGCTTCATGAAAAGAATGACAAAAGTGAGAATAAATCATGTAGAAATGAAAAAGAAAAAACTTAATGTTACCAAGAGACCTAATTGTGTGTAGAAAGAAGACCAAACCTATAAATAATGCAAGAGGGCTCAGTTGTTTACTAGGTGGATATAATGATCCTGGTCTTTTGCTGTGCAAAAGAGATTTTCACTGACTGGTTGCCAAATTACATGTCTAATTATCAATTGTGAATGTCACCCTGGCACCATGGA